GTAGATTCTCCAAGTAAAAATCCAGCACTGTTTTGTTCAACATATAACTGGCACTGATAAAGATTCTTTCATTACATGCAAAGTAATAGAGGGTTCGTCTTCTCATCACACCTAAATTAGATTTGACTAACAAACATAATTTGCTACTTACTGAGACAGCTGCACCAGTTAAGACAGTTTAATGAAGTCAGTATTGATTCATTTTTCAGCAGCTGAGTTGAGCAAGCTGTTTCTGTATTTTTAAGCTTGGCAGAATGTATGTAAAAAAAGAAACCCTATAAACAGTGGGAGGAAAAGTAAAAGTCCAAAAAAGCAACAGCAGCAGAGCACTGATTTATTTTTCTCAGTCTGACCTCATGCTCCAGACTGCTGTATTCTCCTTCTGTGTTCTCCCTGATGATCAAGATGTCGATGTTCTTGTGCCGAGTTTGGACTCCAGGGAGGGACTGGCAGTGCATCACGTTGGCATACAGATCCAAGCTTGTGCTGTTGAAGGAGAAAAATGATCGACCAAGTGCACACAGGGGACCAAATTAAGTTAGAAAGGTGAACCATCTGACAAAACAAGGCATTTATCAAGGGAGCTAAATATCTTATCTACACCTACCGTAGGAGATTATTTCTGGATTTCACAGATGGCGGCATGGTATGTTTGGTCTCTATGTTACCTAACAGGAGGGTTAGGTAATTCTGAAGTTAGACTGCAGTAATGTGGCGTCATAGCATGTTACCCCCCCCATGCCTCACATTTTTATGGTCTGAATGGAGCCAAAAGACGCAGTTTAGCTTACCTTTAAGAGCAACTCCATTTCGGCGGATGGCGGTAATGGCATTTTCAATATCATCCTCGGCCTCCAGTGCAGAGTCGACATGCACAACCTCAAAGTCCACAGGCACACAGCTGAACCTACAAGCATGATTACCAGTGATGAAGGGAGCAAAAGGGAGTCGTCATCTTTTTATAGTCGAGTCTAATTAGACTATAGCTCTGAGAGAACTAACCTGAAAACCTCTCTAACATGACTCAGAAGCTCTGGACCGATTCCATCCCCGGGTATCAGGGTCACAGTGTGTCGACCTCCGTACTTTGCAGGAGGGGGCTGCAATACCACCATGAAACCCCATATTAATTATTTGAACATAACAGGAACCCTACTATTTTGCTATCTTAAATTAATAGGCTACAAAGGACTTAAACCAGACTTATGTATTTCTGTCAAGAACACATTTATTTTTGTCACTTTTACAAAAAGGTCAGGAGTGTGTGGCAATCCCGAAGTGAATGACAGCAGATTTACACTAGGCCTCTTGCCCGCTTCTGTGATTAATGCCAGACTTGCCGGCTACCAACGACATGAAACTGGGGGGAGGTTTATGTTCCAGCAGGACAACAACCATAAACATAAAGCAAGTTTTATAAAAACTTATGAAAAATGTATTAAATGTATTAAGGTATTTTATCTAGCTCGAAAAGATCAATTTACTGTTGCTCACTACTGTGAACTGAGAACTTCAAGCAATCCTGACAAGTAAGTCAGCTGTGATGCAACAGTGAACTAAAACACCATATCTTATTGTAGCAATTGCTTACAATAAGATACAAAGGAAAAAACTGGTTTTGTTAAACTGTTAATGTCAGTGTAAAGAACTTTAATATCAATCTCGCACAACTGGAATAGCTATTATAATAGTTGTGAATTATTTTTAAATAAAAGCCCACATTTTCTGAATTACTTGAACACCTTATATGATACAAACTGATCATCTTCCATTTATCACAAATGTTCTTAAATATAGAGTACAGTTGCATGAAGAATGGAGAAACACCAATCAGGTTTTACACAGCAGGTTTGAGATCTAAGCACCCATTCACCCCAAAGAACACCACACATGCAATAAAACCAAGAAAATTATGAGAATTAGTTTACACAGGGAGCAATTTAGAATCTGACTAAAAATTAAAGAATAAAAAGATTATCCAGATTAATGCATCAAAGTATGTGGCCAACATGCAAACACCTAGTAGATGCGTTTATGAAGAGATGGACAGTTTTAATTTAATACATTTAATGTACAGGAATAAAACGCCTTTGTGATTATTCAGTGTGACTGGCTAGAGAAATCAGATGATCCCAGTCTCAGACTGATAAATTAATGCATTCCTTCCAACAAGCAAACAAAAGTCCAGTCATGCATTTTAATCCAAAGCACGCTAAATCAAATGTCAGCCACTTACAATGTTGTCGCTCTGTTGATAAAGGAGAAAGGGAGAAGAATAATCATCAGTTTGATTACAACCCCCAGGAACAGATTAAAACTCAAAAATGTGAGAAATAAACATAAGACTTTTTTTTTGACACACCCATGATCCCACAGAAAGTGAAAAAACAATATAATTTATTGACAGAAATCAAAACCGTAGTGTTGTTGTTTTAGCCATTGTGTACTGAGTCGAGAGAAGAAAAAAAACAACTAAGATTTAATTCTGTTTTTGCCAGGGCAGTCTCAGATACTCACAACATGAAGTGTTTTATTCCGGTGACTGGTCAAAGTTGTCCCAAATACCTGAAAAGTTGAACAAGAGATTTTTGAGTGAACCCCAATAATACTCACAGGGTGGCCCCTACGTTATATTATTTGACCTTGTGTCTGGAGGGAAAATACGAGCCGAAACTGCAGCCTAAGGGTAAAATTACGGAATGATACAACGAATCAAGTTTGTTTCGTCTTACTTTAACCGCATTTCCCAAGTGTCGACCCCAGAGAGGATTTATAATCCTGGAGGCAGAGAACACAGCACTGTGAGCAGCCATCTTGATTATGAGGAAGCAGCAGTCGCGTGCGACTGCAGGTTTCTCGTGCGTTTTGTATATTCGCTCTTATTTTTTTTTTTATAAAAAAAAACAAAATATATTTATTTTAACCTTTTTAAAGACAGCTTGAAAATAAATAAACAGCTAAATAAAATTAGATATAACGTAAAACCCATGTGAGTAGTTTTGCGCATGCCCAGTTCGTACCGACTGGTCTCGGGCACATCCGGAAGTGATAACAGGATGAAAATAGTCAGTTTTTCCTCGTTTTGCTGACAGCGCTCATCATAAAACGCAGACTGGGTTTGTGGACTTCGGTTTCTTTAGTCTATAATATGCCTGTTGAGTCTTCTCAATGAATAAACTGCGCAGAAAATATTGAAAGTTCGGCGCAAAGGGCAGTGGCTGATTAATTTGTGCAGCTGCGTCCCATCAAAGGAGACGAGCTGAAACCAACCCTCGCTCACCATAGGACTGAATAAAGTAGGTAAGATTTGCTATTTTAATTTAAGCTATGAGGAGGAGAAACCAGGTATATGACTTACGCGTTCCTTTCTGTTTGTCTAGGATATATATGTCATGCTTATAGCAGACTTATAATTTCAGCAAGGCTAAAAGAAATCTTAACCATTTCACACAAATACATACTGTATTGCCTTCTGAAAGTTACATGAGACATGAGAAGATGACTGAAAAGTCAGTTTATTTCATTCAGTTTAAAAAGGTTAAAATCATAATTTAGATTTATCACACACTAAACAATTAATTTATGGTGTAAACAGTCTGTTACATCATATTTATTGACACCATCTGTGAGGGTGGGGGTTATACATTTTGCTAAATTGATTTATTCATATGTAAAATATACAGATTTATTTGAAGGTGAAATTAGTTACTCTTAAATGCTCAAACTTTTCATCTAGGAATTTTCACTTCTTGGATCATTTTTGTTATTTCAGCAGCAGCACCATAGCAGCTTTGGATTAAAACTCGAGTCAGCATGAGGGAATTTGATAAATGCTTTACATAGGACTTTTATTCTTAGAAAGTTTACAAACCACTCCTAATTTGAGAAATCCAACTGCTTTCAAACATCCTGACTTGCTTGAGACCAGTAGGACATGATTTAAAACTATTTTTCAGTCCTCAAGGCCCACCGTCCTTTGTGTTTTTGTTGTCTCTGCTTCGACACACCTGATTTAAATACTATGCATGCCATTAAGTGCTGCAGAAAGCTGCCATTGCTCATTTATTTAAGTCAGGTGTGTGACCTGCAACTGTGCAAATGCCAGCAAGAATATAAATACTTAATTTTAATGGGAGTAGTTGGACTGGAAGGAAGGATCTCAAGAATGTTCCTTTGTGCATTAAGGACACAGCAGTCTGTCACTAAAGGAGTTCTCTAGTTTAATAACATCTATCACAACTAACCAATGGAAAGTAATTTATGTACAGTATACATAAAATTCTTTGATACTCCACGTTAGTTAGCTATGAGTCACATAAAGGTGATCATTCTGATCACCTGAAGAATTTGCCCACAAACTATGCAGACTTAAAAACTCTAAAAATCTACAGACTTTTTTACAAATAAAATCTGAACTAAATCTTAATCTGATTTAGTTTTTTCAAGCAAGATGTCATTGTTTATCAAGTGTTTCAAAAAAATACCTTTTGATTCTGTTTCAACAAGCTGCCACTTATTAAAGCATCAACCAGGACATTTTGTAATCATTTGAATATGATTATTGATCAAACAAAGGAATCATTCATAGACATTCAGACAAATATTCTCGAGTAGGGGGTGCATACATTTGTAAGAGTAAGACAATACAGAATTTTTAAGGGCCCACATTCTTTCCTCTTGACATACATTGCAGATTTATGTAAATTTGTAATGCCCCAAGCAATGCTAAAAAACCAGCTGAAAAACCAACTGACAAAATACTTTAAAACACTACAATTCTTCATACCCTTGTAGATTCAAATTTAAGCTAATTCCTATATTTATAAAATACCAGTGAGAACTTATAAAAAGTTGCTCAGCAGTTATAAGGAGGTTTTGATTGCTTTAATGCAAGAAATTATTTTTGAGATCTATTTTGGGAAAATTAAATTTTGCTATAAGTTGTAGAAAATGCAATAAAAATATACATAAACGTTTGAAGACCTGTTGAAATGGCTGACGACCATCAGCAGAGGAACAAATCCAGCAAGGCAGACTTCAGAAAGAAGAAAATAATGACATCCCCTTATTTTCTTATGAACAATATTTTGGAAGGAACCCTCAAATGTTTTGCACCTGAAAGAAAAACAGATTTCAGCAATCATACAGATACAAACGAACAGCTGACAGAACAATTAAGTTATGAAATTAAACACAGGTGAAATACACAACCTTTATCTATGAGAACAGTTAAAAACATATATAGCAAAATGCATATGAAATCCTGTAGGCAGTTACTTTTTAATTCTTGTAAAGACAACACAAAATTGACTACTACTGGTTGCCAACCAGTCTACGATAAGCATTGTTATGGTAACTGCAAACTGCCAGTTCTAGCATCAACTTACAGAGTAATGAAAGTCAGCAGAAAATAACTTTTTAACTAAAAAAAGAATTTGAAGAAACCAATTATGATTTATAATATGGTTCAAATTAAACCCTATTACATATATTAAATTCCCTCAATGTGCCTGACTCTAACCTCTTGTTTGTTCTGTCTACAGGTCTATGAGCCGGTGAATCATGAGACTGACAGGTGAGTTGTAAGTGTTCTGAGAGTTTTGTCTGAAGTGTCTTTTGCCTGAGCTTGTATGTTGTGATTCTGTTAACAGCCCCCCTGCGAACTGTAGTGGTTCTGCTCCTGGTGGGCTTCACCTGGCTGCTCGCAAGCTCATTATTTGGAGGAGACAGCAGTTTATCTGTGCGAAACATCTTCACTGGTAAAATGAGTAATCGTCACTTATTTTGTAGGTTTAGGCAGAAATATCAAAGAAAACTTTCAGACTTTTATTGATGTTTTTAAGTTAGAGTTCAAGATTTTTGCAAGATTTAAGTTTCTTGTGGTTTTGTGTTTCTGACTAAACAGAAAAGCCAAGCTGAAAGCATCATAATGGGTTTTATCTTCCATTTCTGAAATTTTAGTCGCCAAAGAGAAACTCTGTAAAAAGAAAATAAACAAGAAAAAAAGATTAATCGGTTTCTCTGATGAGCATTAGATGTACATGAAGAATCAGGGTTACTGCATAGCAAAATCAAATCAAGTGTTTTATTTTTGATATTTATTTTAATCAGAAAACTTGTTAATATTTTCAGGCACAAAAGAAGAGCCAACCCAACGTAAGTATGAAAGACAAAGTACGTACCAATGCTTTTTTCGTTTGTGATTTATCTATTTTTGACTCATATATCATCTCTTTTAGCTGAACCACGTCCTCGGAGATACAAATGTGGACTTTCAGCACCATGTCCTCCAAAGCATTTGGCTTTCCGTCTGGTGTCTGGAGCTGCAAACGTCATTGGCCCGAAAATCTGCTTGGAGGATAAGATGTGAGATTTGGCACTGTGAATTTCTCTTCTACTCGTTTACATCTTTATCTCCCCTGCTGTCCCCTTTTTATTCATTCCGTTTCACTCTGTCATCTTTTTCTTTTCCCCTTCTTTTTTGCTTTCCTAACAAGGCCTCCAAGTATCTCTGGGGAGCTTGATGCAAGTATTGTCATAGTCTGGTGGTGCTTTATTCTTTTGGATTGTTAGGCCCTTCCTTTGCACTGCTGCCTTGTTAGTGTGTAATGTAGTGTAAATAGGTGCAGAAATGTGCCTTAGCAATTCCCTCCTAAAGTACTGATACTTAGACATGTTTATATTTTCCCACATTTGAACATTTAACTTTTGTGTATTTTATTGTGATATCAAGGGAAAGACCTTGATATCACAATAAATGAGTGGAAGGAAAGTTTGGCATGATTTCCAAAATGGGATTACAAATAGAAAGCTCACCCTTCTGACGCTTGAACATCCCTGATGCAAACTGTTTCAATGTAGCTGTGGCTGCATGTTTGAAGTTGACGTCCTGTTGCCTCTTTTAAAATCTCTAACAGACTTTCATCCAGGATTATCAAACATTTGGCTCCCTTCATACATGAATGAACTCTGGATAACTTCCTTGTTCCTCCTGATCTGAACTACCCCACAGGAGGTTTTCATTTGTGCAGTATTTAATGTATTTTCGGTGATGGACTAAACAGTATTGTGTGTTTTATAACATAACTCTGCTTTAAACTGGTTCAGACTCTAACCTTTCTGCTGTGTTTCTTAGTTTTCACAATGTTGTTTGTTCACTGTTGTTCACTAACAAACTTCTGAGGCCTTCACAGAACTGCTGGATTCATAATCATAATCTGATAGCAATGTACTTTATTTTAATTTGGGGGTTTCAATGTCACATTTATACTCACAATTATGCTGAAATTCTTGTTTTTCTATCATTATGTCTAAGAAAAATGTGTCTAGGTTTTACACATTATATTGTGACACAATGTGCAAAAGTTCAAGGAAGAGAAACCCTTCTGCTATGCACTGTAAGTGTATGTTAAAGACTTGTGTCTCTGTCTCTTAGGTTAATGAGCAGTGTGAAAAACAACGTTGGTAGAGGACTTAATATAGCTTTGGTTAATGGTGAGAGACTCATCTTCAGCTTTTGATAAACAGTGTTATATTTATTTTAACTATTGATTGCAGTAAAGTTTTAACACTTTGTTTCTTTGGTTTAGGGGTGACAGGTGAGCTGTTGGAGACTAAAACCTTTGACATGTGGGCAGGAGGTAATGCAGGAAATGGTGCTTAATCTGTATTCCAGTCCTAGTGGCACAGAAGACGCATGAAGTGAAACTCACAGTTTATCTAATGCTTCTTTTCAGATGTGTCCAACTTATTGAAGTTTCTGCGGCCCCTTCATGAAGGAACACTTGTGTTTGTTGCTTCTTTTGACGATGCTGCTACAAAGTAAGAATCAAAAACATGGGATTAGTTTAGTGTGAGAACTCTGCTTATTTATTTATTTGTTGTCCCCCCAAAATTTAAGTTTTATGTAGAACATGTTGCTTCAACCTCTAATTGATAAAACTGGACGAGTAGTCAATTTTGAATTGTTGGTTATTATTTAACACAAAAATTATATTAAATGCAAAATTGTGACTAACAATGATGCATTTACATTGTAAATGGTACTGCTTCATTTGTAATGATCTTGTTCAACTGATTCACATACTTGGCATTTCCAGTGTACATAAAGGAAAAACATCAATGCATAAGTTTTAAAACATCAAAATATTTAAATGGTATGCCATTTAGTATGTGTACTAGTTTACATGCAGGGGTGGAAATTTGGTTTTCATAGAGTTAATAATAAATACATTTTCTGTAATTTACTTGTACTTGCAGGTTTTGTAATCGAAGAAAAAAAAAAACACAGTGGCTGCTGAAATGTCTGAGTGGCCGGTAAAACATTTTCTCTACCAGCCACTGTGGCTGGTGGAGAAATTTTCAAATTTCCACCCCTGTTTATATGTCCAACAGTTCTCTAACAATTGTTTTGATTTTTTTTGTTTGTTTTGGCAGACTGAATGATGAGTCTAGACGTTTGTTTGAGGAGCTCGGTAGTACAGCTGTGAAGGAGCTGGCCTTCAGAGACAGCTGGGTGTTTGTTGGAGCCAAGGGCATCGAGAACAAGAGCCCCTTCGAGCAGGTATGAGCCGACTCCTGTGCTCCATCTGTGTGCTACATTGTCAACGGCTTCACTTCATAGGACAAATTATTTTAAGGATTTTGATTAACTTGTCCAAGTTTAGTTTTTTATTCACCGTCTATTGAGGCTTTTGTCTTTAGTTGTTTCTAGCTGGTTCCATCTCCACTGCAAAAGTTGTATCAAAAAAAGTATATAAATTAACCATTAAGAAGTTTAATTCTCATTTTAAGTGGAAATAAAATACTTTACTCTCACTGCTCACTGAAGCTCCTTTTAAACCTTCTTCGTTAAAAAGAAATTAGGTGACAGGTTTGAATTGTGAATTATTATTCGCTGTTATTTATACATATAATCTTTGGGTAAATGTCATTTAGCTAGCTGGAAAAGCCCATGTAGCTTTCATAACCTTGAACAATCTTTCAATGTAGTTCTGAATATTTGACCACTCGTCTTATCAGAAATGGCAGAGTTGATTTAAATGCATCATCTTCCTGGCACAGATCAGGCTTTTAAGCATACTCTATAAATTTTAAATAGACCTCAGGCCAGAGCCGTTCTAGATGTTTTCCATTTTTGTGTTATCAATACCAAGATCAGTTCGGTTGTTTGGGATCATTGTCCTGTTGAAACACACAGCCGTTTTCGTTTTGGCTCTGGTTCTGCTCTGCATCCCCAGATCCAGAACCAAACACGAGGAAGCAGCATTCATCTTCTGTGCACCACAAATCTGGAAGAAACTTCCAGAAAACTGCAAAACAGCCAAAACACTGAGTTCTTTTAAATCAAGACTAAAAACTCACCTATTCAAAACTGCTTTTAAACCATAACAAATTAAACATTGACCAACATATTTGATGTGAATAATTTTGGCGATGGCACTCATCAAAATGTCTGTTCAATTTTTGGCTGTGGTGTTTTCCTTATAACTTTGTAATTTTCTGTTTTTATTATGTAAAGCACCTTGAACCTGGAACCCTTGCTGTTGAAATGTGCTATACAAATAAACTTGATTGATGAAATAGCCAAACTCCTTCTGGAGAACGCTTTGTGGTCAGAGGAGCCAAAGTTTGAGGTATTTGGACAAAGTAGCCATAAAATATATTTGGAGGAATCGAGGTGATGCCTCAGACCTAAACATTCTTCAAACTATTGAGCACGGTGATGGTGGTATGATCCTGAGGATCTCTTTTGAAGCCGTTGGTACTGCTGCTTCACACAAAGTGGAAGAACAATAAAGCTAAATCCTAGATAGTTAAAGGAGACACAGGAAGCAGTGGAACCAAACGCACATCATAACTGGTTTTGAAAGGGATAAAGCAGGCCAACATTAAGCTTTTGGACTGACTCCTACCCTACCGCCATCTCATTTTTTTAAATTTATGGACTGTGCTTAAAAGCCTGCTCCTGCCCGGAAACCAACCAATTTAAAACTATTTCTGATAAGAAAGAACGTATGTCAAACAACAAGACAGAATAATCCCATAAGCATGTTTTCAAAAATTATATGGTTTCTCTGCGGCTTTATCCAAATGAATTTATTTATCTAAACATATTTAGATTTTTTTCCTGCGTGGATTAGAAAAAAAAAGCACAATTTAAACACAGTTGCTTTTAGTTTTGCTTTTAACAATCATTGAAGTTTTGTCATCATATCCACCTGAAAAAAAAATTGCTTGGCCGTGCTGTTAAAGAGACCAACATTAGTAAGATTTTCATTAGAACAGCTAAGCTTCTCAGCACCACAATAAAAGCATTGTTGGAAGTTTAAATGATTAATGTAGAAGCAGTGAAATAGTTTTCTGTGAAACCATTAGCCAGCTCTGAAATGAAATTGTGTCGATACTGAAGTACTAGTTTTGTTAAAGACTGAAAAATATGAAAGACAGCAGAGAGCATCTGCAACTGATGTGTTGATTATTAGTTGTCAAAGATCATCTCCACTTTCAGTCATATTGCATAAGATCTCACTTAAAATATAAAAAAATATTACCATGGATAATTTACTATAAAACCACTGAGTCACATATAACTTAGGAGGCTCATTTGGGTTTGGCAAAGTAGAAACCATTAGGCTATAGCTTCTGAGATGCTGACATCGGTTCTGTTTGGCTGTTTTTGTTTCCGATAGCGCATGAAGAACAGTAAGAGCGGCAACAAATATGAAGGCTGGCCCGAGTCCCTGGAGATGGACGGTTGTATTCCCCTGCGGCCGCCCCTTGAAAGTTAATTCTGCTTCTGATAGTCTCTCAGACGTCACGGCGATGCCTGAAGTCTCAGCAGGGAAACAAAGCGACTGCAGAAGGCCTACAAGCTTCTGAACACCTGAAGGACACACAAGTAATATTTTCTTTTGGAAAAAGGAATAAACTGAATGTACAGATTACGTTTTAGCTGGAACCAATTTGTACAAGATTTCAGACTAAGCTTTCTAAGCTGCTTTTTAGCTGAGGAAATATTCTAGAAACAATGAAAATTATATCAAGGTAAGAAAATCTTGATATAATTGTTTGCTGGCCAAAGTGTAACTTTAATGAGTGAATATAGCTTGACTGAAATTTCTAAACCTCTTATAAAAATATATATCAGTGACGTGCGGTGAGGTGCATAATCAGATGTACAAATGTGCAAAATATGTGACGATTACTCATTCAGTCTGCCAAAACAAACAAAAAAATCAACACGTGCACAACTCTGGAGGGCAAAAAGACAATTCTTTTACATGCCATCTATTGCTGCGCTGCCATGGTAGAATATCCCATTAACTCAACGAAACTTGGAAATGTAGGTATTGTTAATTATGTGCTGTGCTGCACAGCAAAGGGAAAAACCACAACTCAAAACCACAGTCTCTCTCGCTCTTCATTGGCCAGCCTCCACACAGAGTTTTTGCCATAGCAACTGACAACAACCCTAAAAAAATCACGAAACTATTTCCCACACAAAGAGCAGAACATTCAGTCTGTTGCAGTGATTTGGTTTTAGGCTCAATGTTTCTTTTGCGATTTTTAAGAAGTGATTGCTGTGGTAAGAGGAGAAACCTATAAATATGTCGCTGCACTTGAAGTTACTGTATGGCCAGTTCGCTGTTGCCATCTCTTACTCTGCAATTGTGGAGTCACAATGTCCGGGATCATGAGCGCCCCCTGCCATGAGGCAAGAGAACTGCTCGAATCTGTTCTCTGCCATTTATGATAGCTTCTCTGCACACAACACGTTACACACACAGTTGGTGACAAAAAGCACTGCACATTATTTACATAAGGTGCATGACTTTGTGTTTATGATGTAAAGCACTTTGAAATGCCTTGCTGCTGAAATGTGCTATACAAATAAAATTTGATTTGATTTGATAAGCTAAATTATGGAAAATCAGTTCATACATTAAAAGTTTTTTTAGCCATTTTATTGGCGCCGTACAGACAGGAGGCGCGTGCTCTCATAGAGCGGCAGCCAGTGCACTTAGTGAGAGGTTGATCAATCCAAGGTGAGGCTCAGCTCGCTGCTTTCTCACCAGCTGCACTTCCGAACATTTGAATGGGAAACTGAGAAAATTCAGCGATTTTGAAGAAAAAATAATCAAAATTGGTTAAGATAAATGAAAAATAAATACTTCAAAGTACCAACCACAGGGTGAAAATAGCAATATAAATTATTTTATCATTTTATTTTCCGTTATGACAGGTGAGGCTCTGCCACACTTGCCTCCCCTGACCGCAAGTCACTGATATATAGATATATCTACATATCTCTGTAGATATATATATTGCCTTTAGAGTTTGAGCAACAGAATGCAGTTAAATATTTGCACATTGTGATTAAAAAAAAATAAATCTCACTCCTAATCAACATATCAGAAAAAACCTGGAATTACCATGGGCTCTGTGGATAGATTTAATGCTTGCATACTTAAATACAGTGTCATAAATATAATTCAAACTCTACTAGCATTAACTGCCATAATGTCCATAGAACTTGATGCACCAGATGCTGAATACATGTTTACAGATTCCTTTGGCCTTAAGCGATACACAGACAGAATAAAACTATTTATTTTAAAATTTTCTACGCCAAAAACAAGTTATAATTTAAGTTTGCCTTGAATGGTTTTGCAGTCTCAGGTCAAGAAGCATTTTCCCACTGAGTTCTTTTCAAGCTTTTGCATGTGGTTGAATGTTTTTTTTTTTTTTGTCGGAAATGAATGTATTCACTTGGCCTCTTTCAAGCCCATAAGGAAAAATGTGAATAATACACTATTTAATGTTTAGACTTCAAGAACATTTTAAAACACTTGATTATGTTAATTTTGTGTAAATATAATTTTCTAAAAACAGTGAAGTCTGTTACATTGCAACATCAACAATGAAGAATAAAGAAAACAAATCCATATTTGTCTTTTTTTTTATGTCCTTCAATCGGGATCAGTGCCTCTAGGGGGCGACAAAGGGTCATATCTGATGGAGGTTATTCAGTTCATTCTGCTCCAGGCATTTGCTTTTTCCAAGCATATGTTCTGATGGTTATGAAGTGAATCTGCAATATTTTTGAATTGAAAGTAGCTACATCATCATCATACTAGAATCATCACACAATGAACACAATAAGTTGCACTGTGCTTCAATGTGATATGGCATCTGATGTTAGTAAAAGTGAGGTAATCGTTTAATTCAGCTATTTCAGAACAGATGGCTGGAGGAGTTTGAAGAGGAGCGATGCTATGTTTTGAAGTTACCTTTGATGCCCATGTACTTGTGTATGTTTTAAATAATTTTTCACCTGGACATCCTATTTTTATTTAGTTTTTTTTAAGTGATTGCTATGGGTTTTAATTGATATTGTACCTCCAAAAGGTGCAGCAAAGTTTTTGATTTCACTAAAATATAAATACTACCTACTGTATGAACACACATACGGTTGCACTGGACAAATCTGCCCAGACCTCTACGTTCACACGGGAGATGCAGAGTTCTGTTTTCAAAAATCATAGTTTCTTCCTCCATCCTTTCACTTTGATGAACGCCTAAGATAACACGCAGCTATTCTATATGAAGACAAAAAAATGACACATTTGCAGCACTCCAACTTTCTAATTAATCTTCCTTTGTAAAACAAATGCGTGTGTGAATCCAAATTAAAATCTTGTCTGATTCAGTTTAAACCGCTTGGTAAATGACTGATCCCCCCTCCCCCTCCCCCAGTATACGTGGAGTATTTTACAAGTGTTCTTTCTCTACTCAAAATTGTGACCAAGAAATTGCAAAAACCTCGGAACAGATCATAACCGGGCGCAGCACCGCCCTCTGGTGGCGACAGCAGCTAACTGTCACTTCTCGACTCCTTATGTTGTTGATGATGATGATGATGATGATCCCCGTGGCATCGCGCGCTCTGCCAGTACGCACGCGAACCTGCTGCTGACTATGAGGAGGACTCTTGTCAGCGAGGAACACAAGTTACGGACATTTTACGGATTACCGTCACCTGCGGCCGACCGACCGAGCGGCCAGCGGCTGAGAAAATGAGCGAACCGACGATAAGCGTCGCCTGAACCGGAACGCGTCCGCCGGCTGCTCACCCGCTGCCTCGCTGTCGCACGCGGACACCGAAGCTCGACGGCTCCGGTGGCGGAGGGAGATTTTTCCAGCCGTCATCACCGCGACCGGCCGGTAAAATGTTACCAAACGGAGCCCGGGTTTTTTTCTTGAATTGCGTTTTTCCAATAGGTAGATGGGTTTTTTATGTGAGAGTTTGATGTACATTTGGCTTAGGTAATGCGGACATTTGTAAATAGGCAATAAAAAAATCCCGTTTACAGCCAGTATATTTAAACTACCATTTTTTATTATTTTATTTTTATTTATTTTTTTTAAATTAAGTCAACGCAGGACGTTCGAGGTATGACGTTACATTCAGGTGAGTGATATTTTTATTGTTTTTATTACACTACCAATATTTGTTGTAATTAGAGTGTTATGTCATACAGTTCTGTGTGATTTGGGAACGGGGATTAAACTTCCTACCAATTATAGAAAATGTTTAGTGTACCAACACTGGAGAGCATTGGAGATGGGCCCTCTTAATAAACCCGGAGCTGGTTTTAGGATTTGAAGCGTGGTCGCACCATTGTTGATGTTGATTAGTGGTGCTGCCCGGTCGCCCCCTGTCATCTGCTTCCTCCCCCCCACCCACTGTATGGGGATTGTACTCTTTGCCTCTCGTATGGCGTTCCTCAAGTCAGCTGAGCTCCCTGCGAGCCAATAGCAGTGTCACATTACCTTCAGTGCATCGTGTGTACTGGGGTCCTGCAAATCAACACACTATCTGGGTTCCTCGGCTTGTTAGTGCAGAATGAGAGTTGTGGAAATGATCTTTCTATGGGGTTCAGCGTAAACAGAAAGCGTATTTCTTTTGCTGCTGTTGAAACAATGTGTGTTGTCAGCAGGAGGTATGAGTGAAAGTAAAACCTTGCCCCTCTTTAATTCCTCTAAAGTGCTAAATCGCTGAACCTCTGGCACCCTCATGGTTCATAAAAACCCAGGGATTATTCAGAAGTGAAAGATGTTCAGTTGTAGATATGTACTTCCAGACTATTAAGCCACTCAGTAGTGTTTAATCCTGGTTCATCTGTGAGTGATTAGAAAGCTTTTCTTTCACCTAGATTTGTATGGTTTTGCCCACAGAGGGGGATGCAAAGTGAACAGAAACCATGGGGGTTAGATAACACACATCTTTCTCCCTCTCTCTCTGCTCGCTCTATGCCTGGGAACAGTGCCGTGTGTGTGCTGCTACCTACACTCGAGTCTCACATGCTTGACCTGGATTGGACAAAAGTCCTTGTTGTGTTTTGAGCCTTGAGTTTCCCTAATAGGATGAGAACAATCAATTGTGTGTTTGATTCCAGCAGCTGGCATTTGATATTTCTTGCAAACAGGGAAGCGGCAACATGTCCTGAACAAGTTGTTCATACGCTTAATAGGAACCACTGCACGTTGGTCTCTTTGTATGCTTACTCTGGCCCATTTTTCTAAAGGCAAATACATTTTAAGATATTTTTCGGATTACAGCTGAAACCAGACATTTACATAAACCAAATAGACAAATGTTTTTGTCTCTTTGTCTGATATTAGATCAGACCAAAATTGTCCCATTTTATGTCAGTTAGAATGACAAAAATTATTTCTATTTGCTGAATGTCATAGTAAGGAGAAAGAAAATATTTCAGAGATTTATTTATTATCTTCAAAGTCAAAAGTTTACATACATGGTTTCTCTCAGTATTTAGCATCATTGCCTTTTAACCATATAACATAGTTATATGGTAGTAGTTTATTTCCACAAGCTTTTTACAATGGTTTACTTTAGTTCTGGCCACCAGTCCTCCTGACAGAGCTGGTGGAACTGAGTCAGGTTTGCTTGTACCTTTCGAAATCTGTCCACAGCAACAACAGAAGGGTTTAAATCAATATCAATGTGTCATTTATGCACTGCTTTGTTAGTGAAATACATTAGAGGTTGTGATTGAAAACCATTGCAAATTTTCCCAGCCACTATTTGGGAGTTATCCTCTCTCCCACTACTGCGCTCTTTAAAGGCTTGCCTCCAGAAATCTGACAGTGTGAGTCATGCCTGTTAAACATGGCCTCTCACAGGGACCATGGTCTTTGTATTTGTCCGTCTGTGTGATCAGCAACCGAGCTGCAGGGACCTAATATCATCAGTGAAGTTGCCGCTTGACTCAGAGCCCATTTGAATTTTGGCCAGCAGCTTTCAGACCTTGTGCTTCCTCTGTCTTCCCACATTACTCAGCTTCCATCTCCGCTCTAAATCTCTGTGCGACTAGTGCTGAGTTGGAAGGAGTCTGAAACAAGTTTGAGCATTGAATTAAGCATGCATGGAAAAGTTTGAATGACAAGCAGGTATGAGTGGTTGTTCCACTTGGAGGCTCTGTTGTTTTTTCGGTTTCCAGACAAGCAAATGTGTTAAATCTAGGTGACTCTCAGGTGCACAACTTATCCAAGTTTACCTTGTCTGCTGAGAGGGCAGAGTTATATGCAGAACACCACAGCTGACACTTCATCATATATCTGGAAAACATTTGTTTTTATAGTTTTATTGTGCTCCACTAAGGTTGCAATGCTCACTCCACTTTCTGCTTCACATGTGATTTGTTTCCTCAGGTAGGTGTTTGATTTCTGAAATGCCTAAGCTGATCCTTGGGTTTGAAAATTGAACTTCAGTCCTAAAATAAAGAAATGTATAACAGTTTCACTAAGAAAGTTCTTTAAGAACCCCCAAACAATCAGAAGCTATTTAGTATTTTTGTGGAAAATTAAGATGACAGATGTTAGGATCTCAACTTTCCATCCGTCCGTCCGTCCATCATCCATCCATTCAGCCAATAAACACAGTCCCTCCAGCTTGTTTTGGGACTTCTCCCGGTGGGACGTTCATGGAACGTCTCACCCAGGAAGCGGACTTTTAGGCACCTTTAACAAATGCCTCAACTGTCTCCTCTTGTTGTGAAGGAGCAGTGACTCTACTCTCAGCCCCTGCCAGGTGATTATACATGTGAAATATTCTAGAAAAAAATTATTTATTTATTTTTTGTTGTGGTGACCAACATCTCATTTTCTAAATGTTTTTAAAACTGTAAAACTGAGCAGATAGTAACAATAAAGTGAAATATTTTTATTTCAGTGATTACTTAATTTATTTTTGATTTAATTTTCTTTATTTTGACATTTTATAACAGTAAATAGTTGGACAGCACCAGCTCCCCTGTCAGAGGACATACAAGTGGAAACTATTCCTAAGTTAATGTAATCACCTTGTGTGTTTTTTTTCCAACTTTTCCCTCCTCCAGACATTCTTCCGCTCCTCTCTACTGTTCTCCTCTTAGCTGCCTTTGTGTGAGTAGAGATTTAGCTACTCACTGCAGTCATTCACGCAAACATTGGCACATATTTTATCAGACAACCTGCCCTCAGTTCCCTTTTTGTCTATGCCACCCCCACCCCTTTATTTCACCCTCATTCTCTTTCACTCACATTTTTCTCACCCCATCAGCCACTGCCCCTCCCTCGCGCCATCTCTCTTTCCCTCTCTTTCTCTGTGTTTAAAATTCTACTGTCCGACTGCTCCCACCAACTGCAGTCCCTTACTGCCCCCCCCCCCCCATGCCACATTTTATTCACTCTTTTCATCTGCATTTCCCCCCTCAGTCACATAAACATGGCCAGCACACACACAGTCCTCCGGCTCTGTCTCTATCGACCTTCCTAGTTTTTCAGCCGCTGTCCGGTAAGCTGAAGTTGCTGCAGAACTGCAGTATTTTATTCGGTGTAAGTCAGAAAATTCATATTATGGTTTTTTTTGTGAAAGATTTAA